TGCATATCGGGGAAGTTTTCAGCTAACAGCACGACGTCGTCGGCGAATTCGAGGTCGGTTATGTGAATATCGGGCGAAAGTTGGACGCCGTGGTGCTCGGTTAGGGCGTGCCGCAAAATCCAATCAATTGTGAAATTGAACAGGATGGGGGATGCTGGACAACCTTGCCGGACACCGCTGGTTACCTCAAAAGTGCGGACTCTTCACCGTTCACTCGGACTCGAGCTTTGGTGTTGGAGTAGTATGACCTGAGCAGGTTGATTAGCTTGGTCGGAACTCCGTCGAGCTCCATTAGATACCAGAGTGCTCCTCGATCAACTGAGTCGAATGCCGCTTGGAAGTCGATGAAGCAAGCAACCGTCGGCTGTTGGAATTTGTCCCTGTGTTCCAAAATTCTTCGCAGTGTGAATAATTGATCAACACAGCCTCTTCCAGGTCGAAATCCGGCTTGATTTGGCCTTGTTCGCACGTGGCGTTCGGCCGCGAAGCGGTTCAGGAGAATGGAAACAAAAACCTTAGCAGCGATATCAATCAGACTTATGCCTCGGTAGTTCTCGCATATTGACCTGTCTCCCTTTTTGTGGAACGGTAGCAGAACTGAGGTGCTCCAATCGGAAGGAATGGTTTCGGACTCCCAAATTGAGCAGAACAGCGAGTGCAGTGCATCGATTAGCGCTGGAGTGCAGGCCTTGTATATTTCTGGAGGTAGACCATCTTCGCCCGGAGCTTTTTTGTTTCTGAGTCTGTTAATTGTTTTAGCTATTTCGGTTGGAGTGGGTGGATCGCAGTCAACTACGTAGGGTGTTGGTAAGTGTCGTATCGGTCGATGAGACGGTTGACCAGCGTTGCGATTGAGTAGCTGCTTGAAATGTTCGGCCCATCGTTCCATCTTACCATTGGTGTCCGAAATAATTTCTCCTGATGCTGTGCGTAACACAGCATGACTGTTAAGGCGTTTGCCAGATGATTGGCGTATGAGGCGATAAAGTTTTCCGAAATCGCCTACATTTGATGCTGCTTCCATGTTAGTCGCCACATTAGACCAATAGCGATTTCTGTCATTCCTAGCAGACTGTGTAGCTTTGCGCCTGAGGGAGCGATAAACTGGAGACTTTGCTAGGCGAGCGTCTCTGGCTTGCGAGGATAGATGCATGGTGTGCTCTGAAATCCAGTCTTTCTGCTTCTTGGATGTGGTACCCAAATGCGACATTGAAGCTTTAGAGACTACTTCTTTGAAATGATTCCATCGTGTCTCAGGTGTATTAGAAGATGTGGATGTTGGTTCATCTGCGGCGCTTAGTTCGGCCTGGATTTGTTTGGACAAGGCTTGTCGCTTTGTCGAACATTGAAGCGGGGCAACATTGATACGCTTCGGAGGTCGCGCCTTCTGGCGTGTTGTTAAACGAAGTTTGAATTTCGCCCTAACTAGAGTATGGTCTGATCCCCCTTTATTTCCGGCCTCTGCCACGATAGGATCGACAGTCTTCCACCGAGGAGATCCAGCGTGAGCGCACTAGGATGTAGTCGATCTGATGTGCAGTGCGACCGTCGTTCGAATACCAGGTGAGATGTTTTCTAGGGTGTTGAAATCGAGTGTTGGTGATATATAATCGATTGTAATCAGAAAAAGCTAAAAGTCTATCACCATTACGGCAGCGCTGATCGAGACCGTGTTTGCCTAGTATATGTTTTGTCGCGTCGTCTGAAGGGCCAGTGCGGGCGTTCCAATCGCCGGCTACTATGAGAACGTCACGCTTTGGGATTTTGTTGATTGCCTCTTGAAGATTGTCATAAAATTCGTCTTTGATACTTTCATCAGAGTCGAGGGTTGGGGCATAGACAGCGAGAACAGAAATGTCGAGCGGGGAACCCTTGAACCTAGCGACTGCAACTCTGGAGTTGACCGGTTCGAATGATATTAGGGCATTATTGGCTTTGTTACTGAGAGCAAATGCTACCCCATGTTGTCCCGAATTATTCTGGGGTCCACTATGAAGCAACCAGAATGAAGAATCTGTTCCAGGTACGGCTATTCGGCGGGAGCCATGATCGGGTAACCTCACTTCAGATAGACACGCTATGTCCACCTTGTAGTCGTATAAAGAACGCATGGTGATAGACTGGCTACCAGGATCCAACAGCGTCCTAACATTCCAGCAGCCAACAAATAGTTGGTTTCTAAGTGTTAATTTCCCAGCTGGCTTACTTTTCACACTGGCCACCGGGTGAGCACAGGGCGCGTCGCTTACCGGGAACGCCGTAGCATGGTGAGAGTTGTTTGTAAGAGAGTTCATGAAGTTTCATGGGAATTTGGTACGAGTGATGTCCCCAGCATCGCTCGGCCTTTTGTTTGAGAGTGCAGCTCTAGCCTTTACACAACCAAGTGTGACCTACAAGGCAGTAGGAGTGGAGTAGGGAGTCCACTATCCATTGGCAGCCGGTGACCGGAGTTCGGTTCATACGCCTTTTTGAATGGGGCCAGACATCCAACAAGCCCTTTGTCCATACGTCTGCCGGTGAGCTTCATACGCCAGTCGTTGGAGGTTTGGAATCAGGGTTTAGCCATCTCCCCTAGACTGTCATCCAATGGACAGTCAACCCGGTGAAGAGCGCCGGGCATCCGCTTTCGCCTTCTCCGCCCAACAACGAAGTAATTCTCCGTAATTTTTATTAGGCGATGTCTCTGAAGTGCTGGTATCAATAAAATGTTGGGACGAGACTATTTTCGGTTTCAGCAGCTGCGCCTCTCATAGGCTGTTACAAAACCCGATAATTATAAATATACAAAATCTGGGAGGGATACAACCTAGCGAAAAATGCTCCTACGAAATATTAAAATTATCAGTTTACCTTCCCTAATACTAACTCATCTCAAGCAAATTGCACAACGATGGACATATCCATCAATCGACCAGCTAAAACTTTTTAAACTCATGACACCACCACATGAACAAATCCTCTCCTTCCTAAGCAATCCCAAATCCAAGCAATATCGCAAAACCTTATCCTCATCAAACTGAAAGCGTAGCTTCGTTAGAGCAAGCATACGAATCAAGCGCTATACAAGTTTGAACTCACGTGCATGAACCTCATTGAACCATTCGATGTCAGTCATTCGTTGACTGGTAGTTAGTGGTGCTTAAAGTTTAACTTGGCCCACATTTTGTATAAAGAGGCTAATGATACTGAGTGAACGAACCTCAGTAGCTGGATCATATTGGCTCAGTATTTGAAAGTCCAGAACACGGAAACCAATAAGCCAAGCCATAGATCAACATTAAACCAAACAAACTGTTAGAGTATTTATTGTTTACAACTACATTCCATTAACCTTAAAGACTGAAATTCTATTGACTATTGTCTCACCTTAGAACCACTAGCCTCCTAAAATGAGTGCAAACAAATTTCAACCTTCTATGCGCAGAAGTTATAACTACCTAAAATTCAATAAGGATTCATTTCGAGTATTTTATGACTTAAGCAGTTGTAGTTATTTGAATTTAGATTAAGGCACCGATGAACTGATGCCTTCAAAGGAGACCAAACACTAATGAAAAGGTCTTATCATTTCCCCGTATATAGTACGTTAGTTTAATCTACTCAATGAATTCTCAAACGATTTGTTCAGACTGCTATTGTGCTACATCTAGTCAACTGTGATTTGTTTATACAGTCAACGACAAAAAAAACGTGATCAGGTATCGATCATCTATCTTCGAACATGTAAGCCAATGTACACCTGTCTAATATGTGAAAGCATCCTTAAGTGTAAACGTCGAGGCTAAATCCACAACTAAGGAAAGAATCATAGTCTTCTATTTATAACACAAATTATAGGGAAGGCGAAAGTATTCAAAACTGTGCAGATCCTGTCATTCTCATGTTATCGAAAATCTAGCTCAAAAATGTCCGAATTGTTTATTCCATCAACTTCATACCATGTTCAAGCTTGCCATAACTATCTCCCTTGTCAAAGACTCTATGATTAGTCTCTGTTTATAAAAGAAACACAGTTTACTTTCTCAAATGCTGTCATATATGAAAGTCCTGAGGTGGCTTCTGTCGGAGAGTCATGGATGTCCCTACTGAAGTCTCCCAAGCGAGGAAGATACAGTCTTCTAATGCTCTGTGATTTTCATCACTCCTCTAACTGGGGGCTAGGGGTTTACAGCGGAATCCATCGTGGATTTACTCAAGTCACCGTAAACACAATACCGGAATAATATCGTATAGTTCCGAACAATCAATATGCCTAAAATTACACATATCTTGAAAACACCGAAACAATATTAGATGGTTGGAGGCAATCGGCAGGCAAGAAGTCTTGGACCTAGGTTTCGTGCTTGTTGTCACTCACCAGTCAGTAAGGCGTATCTTCAACCTTGAAAGAACTCATGTCTCTTCTGCGAGCCCGAATAGCTCAGCGGTAACGTCTCTGACTGCAGCACTGGGTGGCATGAGTTCCTTCAAGGATGCAGATACGCCTTGCTGACTGGTGAGTACCAACTAGTGCGAAACCTAGGTCAAGCAAGGCTTCCTGCCTGCCGATTGCCTCCAACCATCTAATATCATCAAATCGATGTGCACCGTGATGGCGAAACTACCTAGAAGGGTGGCCACATTACCAACCTGAATGATAGAATTCAGTCTGCACCAAAGAAAGGAAGGACTAGACACATTACACTAGTTACTAGTGTCCAATCACAAAACATTCAAACAATATTCGTTTAGTGTTGTAATCTAAACCTCACACCAATCGAAATTATTAGCATTCCTAGCTTAAATGCCTTTTGTAAGCGATAGTTTGTGCGCATAAGATGAGTTAGTTTATCGACACGACAGTCCGAAAACGAGTGAATTGCGCTACTGTTAGCCACCAAACACTGAATACCATTTTCAAATAAAAATTTCAAAAATCAATCAAGTTGTATTTAAACTGTTTAATTCATGCTTAGTTACGTAGATTGTAGGCATTTCATGGATTATAAGACCAGGAATAGTTAATATATTAATCAATCTATTCGTTGTAAATATCTCCACATATTTATATCGACGAGTTAGTGTTGTCTTGACATCTTCGTCGATTTGTGGAACACTAATCTCTTGAACTTTTACATAGAAATAAACTTTATTCATCGAATTAGCAGGATCACTAGATCGATTTGTTGCACAATGCAACCATGATGAAATCTTTCCAAAAGGCGGTGAACGTGGAGGTGAATAGGTGATTAGTGAATCTTGTTTTTCAGAGGAAACATTCAGCACATGATCATCCCATATATTACACAATCGTGTCTGTTGTTCTTGATCATGTACAACCAGTCGCAGTGATTTCGATTGATCAAAAACAACAACAACAGGAGTTGTATCCGCCTGCAATGGCATAAGATTAAACTCTACACTCCATAATATACTTTTTGGTTCATCTTTTTGTATATGGATACGAGTTCGGTTGACTTTAGTGCGCGACAGGATAAGTGTTGGTGAGAGTCGAAGAGTAATGCCATATTCTCTGGCCAACTTTACTAACTGATTTCTTTTTCGAATTCTTCCAGTATTTCGATGAGACAGCTAACGAAAGAGAGGGATTTTAAAAAAAAATCAAATTAATAACTGAATAATTCCATAGTTGCGAATCAAAACTAGATATACAAAGAAAAACAAAAGATTTTAAAATATGACCTGGTTGTTTTTAAATATTCAAGTGGTCTATAGTAATGATATTATTATTGTACCCTTGGGTTCCTAGTGGAACATAGGGCTTCAACTGAACGTCTCCAATTGCTTCTGTCTTTTGCTGTATCTTTCACCTGCATCCATGTTAGTTCATACTGTTTCAACTCCTCTTCACACGATCTCCTCCATGTCACCCTTCCACTGACATCCCACTCGCCACTTCCCTTCCGGGTTCCACTCGAGCAATGACCTGACGCGCGTGCGATGTCACCCAGCGGCTTCCTCAGCCACGAGTGTCCAATCCAACTCCACTTTCTCCTGCATGTTTCTTGGGCGGCGATTGGTTCTTGTTTTGTTTGTTTGTGCCCATAGTTTCATGTCTCATCTCATCTTCAGTATAGAGCTAGCGAAGACAGTTGTTGGTTGATAAAGGTCTGCAACAGGCTGTTGGAAATATTCTTTGTGACCCGCCCACCAAGGTTCTGATCCGTATAGAAGAACTGACTGACTTGATGTTGTTTGTATTGAAAATCCGACTGAATTTTGTTGTTGATGCTGGCTGAGTGACGAAGATTTCCAGATTGGTTTCAGGTTGGTTGATGAATGTGTTTCTCGCCTTCCCGATTCTCGCTGGATTTGACATCCTCGTCCGTTTCGACTGCCTGCAGTTGAGGAGGAAAATGCTCCCTAGATAAGTGAAGTGAATGAAATAAGCTCTTTCAAATCCCTCCTGTTGATGGTGATTGTCGCTGGATGTTGCTGTTAGTGGTTGTTTATTTTCATAACCTCGGTATTGTGTATGTTCACCTGGAGTCCTGTCTTCACTAACTGCTTCTTCGACCAGTTTGTCGGTTTTCGCTTGTAAGTCTTCGATTTTGTGTGACATCAAACATAATTCATCCAGGTGCAAAATCCAGGTCTTCTAGGTCCTTCGCGTCGGTCCAGGATATCCCTTTCTTCTCGTTTCCAATTGTCTGAAGCATAATACAGTCCACCACAATTAGGAATATCATTGGTGATAGATAATAAGCACCCTTGTCTGACTCCTGTGTTTACTCCAAACGCCTCGCTGAGTTTTCCATTGTGGATCACTTGACATGTGCCGTTGTCGTACAGCTGTTGAATAAGGACAGATCTATTATGGGTCACAATGATTGCCTGAAGAATGCTGATACTAGGTTGATACTGGGTTGAAGTAAGGGAAGAGAGAGACTGAAAACCAGAACTTAGTGATTGAACAACTAGTGCCTAGACCAGTCAGACATATTGTGAGATATCGAAGCTTTTCAATATGCCAAATTACACAGCAGTGCTGTGCCATTCAACGTTCTGTCTCTTTAGATTCAGAAAACATAACGATTGAGCGAAGAAATATGCATTCCTTTTCAATTAGATCCTCATGCCTGGCTCTACTCTAATATACATGTATAGCATTTTTATTACAAAACACAACAGTTTACCAGTCAAGTGGCACTGATGTTTGTTAACAATAATCCTATCGTGGCGCAGAGGCCGGATATAAAGGGGGATCAGACCATACTCTAGTTCGGGCGAAATTCAAACTTCGTTTAACAACACGCCAGAAGGCGCGACCTCCGAAGCGTATCAATGTTGCCCCGCTTCAATGTTCGACAAAGCGACAAGCCTTGTCCAAACAAATCCAGGCCGAACTAAGCGCCGCAGATGAACCAACATCCACATCTTCTAATACACCTGAGACACGATGGAATCATTTCAAAGAAGTAGTCTCTAAAGCTTCAATGTCGCATTTGGGTACCACATCCAACAAGCAGAAAGACTGGATTTCAGAGCACACCATGCATCTATCCTCGCAAGCCAGAGACGCTCGCCTAGCAAAGTCTCCAGTTTATCGCTCCCTCAGGCGCAAAGCTACACAGTCTGCTAAGAATGACAGAAATCGCTATTGCTCTAATGTGGCGACTAACATGGAAGCAGCATCAAATGTAGGCGATTTCGGAAAACTTTATCGCCTCATACGCCTATCATCTGGCAAACGCCTTAACAGTCATGCTGTGTTACGCACAGCATCAGGAGAAATTATTTCGGATACCAATGGTAAGATGGAACGATGGGCCGAACATTTCAAGCAGCTACTCAATCGCAACGCTGGTCAACCGTCTCATCGACCGATACGACACTTACCAACACCCTACGTAGTTGACTGCGATCCACCCACTCCAACCGAAATAGCTGAAACAATTAACAGACTCAGAAACAAAAAAGCTCCGAGCGAAGATGGTCTACCTCCAGAAATATACAAGGCCTGCACTCCAGCGCTAATCGATTCACTGCACTCGCTGTTCTGCTCAATTTGGGAGTCCGAAACCATTCCTTCCGATTGGAGCACCTCAGTTCTGCTACCGTTCCACAAAAAGGGAGACAGGTCACTATGCGAGAACTACCGAGGCATAAGTCTGATTGATATCGCTGCTAAGGTTTTTGTTTCCATTCTCCTGAACCGCTTCGCGGCCGAACGCCACGTGCGAACAAGGCCAAATCAAGCCGGATTTCGACCTGGAAGAGGCTGTGTTGATCAATTATTCACACTGCGAAGAATTTTGGAACACAGGGACAAATTCCAACAGCCGACGGTTGCTTGCTTCATCGACTTCCGAGCGGCATTCGACTCAGTTGATCGAGGAGCACTCTGGTATCTAATGGAGCTCGACGGAGTTCCGACCAAGCTAATCAACCTGCTCAGGTCATACTACTCCAACAACAAAGCTCGAGTCCGAGTGAACGGTGAAGAGTCTCGCACTTTTGAGGTAACCAGCGGTGTCCGGCAAAGTTGTCCAGCATCCCCCATCCTGTTCAATTTCACAATCGATTGGATTTTGTGGCACGCCCTAACCGAGCACCAAGGCGTCCAACTTTCGCCCGATATTCACATAACCGACCTCGAATTCGCCGACGACGTCGTGCTATTAGCTGAAAACTTCCCCGATATGCAACAGGCGCTCGATCAGATAAACCACCTCGCGCCTACTATCGGTTTGGAAATTAACACTTCCAAAACCAAAGTGTTTTCGAACACATCCACCAGCAATGATAAAATCTTATCCCTGAATGGAGCACCTATTGAAATTGTGCCATCCTTCAGATATCTGGGATCCATAATGCTCCCCAACGGTCAAGCGAAAAACGAAGTGAATGCGCGAATCTCCAACGCCCGGAACGCGTTTCTACAGCTGAGGAGCGTTCTATGCAGCAAGAGGGAAATCAGTCTCAGGACTAAAATTCGGGTCTACCAAGCTTCCATACGACCCGTTCTCCTGTATGGCTGTGAAACCTGGCCTCTTCGCGCGGAAGATTTACGTAGACTCGAGGTAGTAGACCATTGGTGCCTCAGGTACATTCTGCATGTTCGTTGGCAGGACAAACTCTCCAACGAAGAAGTGCGTCGTCGTTGCCACAACATCAACCAAATTCCAGTACTGGTCCAACAACGTCGCCTTCGGTGGTTTGGCCATGTTCTGCGCCGACCAGATGACGATCTGGTCAAATCAGTTCTAAATCCCTCGCCATTACCATCTTGGCGATGTCGCAGGGGTGGACAGCTGAAGACATGGCTTGGTACAGTCAAGGCTGATATGGAGTGCCTGGGGCTACAAACCGTCTACGGACTCGGTCTGTGGAACAAGAATTGGATAAGCCTGTCGCAAAACCTTGCATCAGATCGCCGCGCCTGGGCAGCGATGATTCGAGACGTTCATGAAGCCGGTTCATCCTCCCGTAGGAGATAGCCGAAGTAAAGTAAAGTAAGTAACAATAATTAGTCAGTGTCAAAATGTCAATGGGTTGATAATTAATGAAGAAAATCAATACACATTCAAAAGGTAGAAATGGTTAGAATAAATTAATTTTACAAGGGTAACACGTAAATTAAACATGAAGTGATCAAAATAAATAAAAATAAAATAAATAATTTGGACAATTGTAATTTTTATAATTTTAAAGGTTTAGCGGGAGGGGGCGAAGTAGTCCGGTTTATACGATCATGTAACGATGCCCAAGGCAAGGAAAGTGGCTGTACAAATTTCTTCTGAACACACAGGTTTGGCTGGCTTCTTCAGATGGATTCCTATTGTTTCAGCTGTCTGTAGAAGACGAACTTGTAGAGCAAAATTAAGATTAGTAGGAATGTGATAGATAATTTTAAATGCTGTATTAACATCAACCTTATGCTCACTATCTACAAGGTGTGCTAAAATAGAGCTACGAATAGATCTTGTTTGTCCTTCGCTCAACCATGTTGGATGATGTTCGGAAATACGATGATGAACCTGCCTAATTGTACGTCTAATGTAGCTGGCTCCGCAGCTGCAGTCAAACTGGTTCTTTAGATTCACACATACACTTAGGTAAGGATTTAAAATCCTTCCCAGGAGACCTACATATATACTTCAGGTAAAACATATGTATTGTTATACTTTAACTTTAATGAAGAACACTTCATATGCTGCAGGATAAAGTAGAAGAGATAATTGAATAATTATTTATCGCGCGTGAGAAACTTGAATAGAAACACCTGAAAATGTACTTTTTGTTCCGTTAAGAACAAACTGTGAAGTAATGTTCTGTATTAATAAACTTAGACACTAGTGACTTGCTACAGGATAGTTTCCTGGAGTTCTAGTGAGAAGTCGTGACCAGTGAGGTCCATCCAGAGGTCACGTATGTGGATGGGTGTCCCACCAACGACAATGGTTGCGGTCGCGCTAAATCAAGAATTGGTAGAAGTTAGAACTCATGGGCGATGAAATCGGGTCCCAGTGGCTGAATGGTATACGAGCTCGCCTTGAAACCTGAAGGTCCTGGGTTCGAACCACACTGGGGCGGCTGCGTTCTGCCGATGATTCCCAAACTAGGCTGAGGAGACAGTTGTCCAGTACTCCCTGGGTTTCAATGGTTCTCTAACTGATATCAATCCATTATCAACTTGTAAAAACATAACTAACGCTTACAAACCAAACTATAGAAAATTTAGAAACAATGACGAACTTGCAAAATTCATTTTCATTCTTGTGAAAAATGAAATAGGCTCATATGTTTTCAGTCTTTATTTCGGATTCTGGGACACATACTCAGAATCGTCGTGGAGTCAAAATTGTGTAAATTCACTGAGTGAAACCTTGTGATTGACTTATGATGACCAGGGTTGGAAAGACTCTTATATTCTTTTCGAAATGCTGTCATGTAACGATGGGTTCATAATCTCAGTCAGGAGAAGGCTACTCACCACTGTTTCCATCACGTGGTTTGGGCATATTGAAAGCAATTTAAAGTGAGTTCTATGATAAGCTGAGTGATATTAACTACGCCAGATTAACAAATGTCAGGCTGTTATATGGGGACTTAAATGCACAGATCGTATATCTAGGTTCAAAAAGAAATTTAAAACAATTAGTTCCCTTTAGGCATTTAGATAAAGCAATAAAAAGACGTAATTTGTCTGAATCGTGTAATGTATTTGTGCAACACATTTTGAACAATCTGATCACATACGGACTTGTCATAGAAATATATATGAAATTAATAAAGAGGTAAGAGGTGAGAAAAATAGGCTTAGGTCAAGTTAAAAGGACATAGGTCAAAATAACAATGAAGACCACTAAACCAAATAGCAGAGGTAATAGTACATCTGCTATGGTATCAAAACAAAATTTACTAAGGAAGGTTTAATGTGATGACGAATTGTTTTTGAAGGTGGCTTAAACTTGCTAATTGCTAGCTAGGCCTTCCAAAAACTTTAGTGTACGCCCTCCCCCAAACACGTTTTATAGACAGATAGGTGTAAAAGATATGTTTCGCAATAGAAGGGCCAGGTCTTCTTCTGTTCTCACCATTTACAGATTCTGAAGATTCCATTTGTTTTTGGAGCCATTTAGGAATATGCTCTGAAGCCAGCCCTTACTTGCAGAGATCGATGAGTCCCCCCTATATGTATGTGTGTCCACGCGTACATTCAAATTGGTAAATACAGTGGGATGTGATGAAGAAGAAAGTTGACGCAGACTTTGGTTGATAGCAGTTATCCAGACAAGTTCATCAGGAGATATAAAGTACTCAGAACACCAAGACCCACTCTACAACTCGCCCCTAAGAAAGACGTGTACATCAAGCTACCCTATATGGGGTATCAAAGCAGCTTGATAACCAGACAAAGACTGAACGCTGTTGTTAAAAAGACTTTTTATGCAGCTAATATCATAATAATAGAAAATGTAAAGCCATTATATCTACCTAAGCCCTTCTAACATGCGAAAAATGGACACAGCTATCACTGATGTGCTACTAGGCGTCACCCCACAGTTAATAAATGAACTTAAACGGATCACATTGTCATCAATCAGCATTAGCACGTATTCAAATTTGAACGCATCATCATCTAGATCCTGATCGTTTATCTTAACTTTTGACAGTCATTATGACATAGATGGAAGCGAATTGGTTGCACCTGCAACTAGCCGCAAAATATCACATATTACTAGATTCAAAGCTTGCTGCCACCGATTATCGGCAATAATTAAATGATGTACTGCGCAATAGTGCAATTGGTTGCAGTTACAAATAGAGAGACAGACAGATACACTCACCTTTCACCATCATGAAGCAAAGAGCTACGCGTTATGTTAACACTAGATCACCTGGAGAAGTGGATGGTTTAAAGGAAACGAAATCATTCAAAGATCAAAGAACCTCTAGGTGTTTTAAAGACAGATTTCCTAATATTATTATTATTTATTACTATATCCTTTAATTCCTAGAGGAACATGGGGCTTCGGCTGCGCACCTCCATTGCCTTCTGTTTTCTGCCAACTTTTCCACCTCGCTCCAAGTCTGCTCACATGCTTTCATCTCCTCCTCACATGACCTCCTCTAAGTCACCCTTGCACCGACGAACAACTCGCCGCTACCTTTTCGGGTTCCACTCGAGCGATGGCCTGTCTAGTGATGTCACTTGCTGGTTTCCTCAGGACATGACCAATCTATCTCCATTTCTTCCTGCCTATTTGTTTCGCAATCGGTTCCTGGTTGGTTCGCTCCCAGATATCTTTGTTGCTAATCTTTTCTGACTGGCCATCTGATCTTGAGTACTGAGCGAAGACAAGTGTTGACGAAGTCTGTATTTTGTTCGAAGTGCCCTTCGTGACGCGCTGGCTAAGTATCTGATCCGTGTAAAGTAGCACTGACTTCACATTGAAATTGAAAATCCGGATCTTATTTTTGATGCTGAGTGGGGCTGTTGACCTCCACACAGACTTAAGAGTAATGAAAGCTTGTCTCGCTTTTTCGATTCTTGCTTTGATATCCTCGTCAGTTCCGTCCGCCTGTAGTTGAAACAATGCTTTCCAGATACGTTGGTAGGTAAAGGAAGTTGTTTCTTTCAGGTTTCTCCCATTTATCCTGATTGTTGTCTGTTGTTGTTGCTGTTATTGCTGTTGACCGGAAATCTTCATCACCTACCTCTGTTTTCTCTATGTTCACCTGAAGTGAAGTCCTATCTTCTCGGGACGCTTCTTCAGCCAACTTGTTGCTTTTCACTTGCATATCTTCCAGTTTGTGGGAAATCAGACACAGATATGGCATCGGCGAAGTCCAGATCCTCCAAGTTTTTTGTGTGAGTCCATTTTATGCCTATTTCCTCATTGCCCGTCGTCTGTCGCATTATCCAGTCTACTGCAATCAGGAAGATCATTGGCGATAATAGACAGCCTTGCCTCACTCCCGTTCTCACTTCGAAGGATTCTGTAGGTTTCCCGTTGTGGATTACTTGGCATGCAGCATTATCGTATAACTGTTGGATGAGATGTATAATTGTCGATGGCAGCCCGTAGAAACGAAGTAGTTCCTAATATTAACTGATTCAAAAGGTGTCACTATGTTCTGAAGACTGAAAGTCGAGAGAAGTACTACAGCATGTACCTGTTATTCCTATCAGTCTACTTAAACATGGAAAATACTAAGCCGCATCATCCTGGAGAGAATCAAACAAGCCGTGGATGCAAAACTCCGACCGGAACAAGCTGGATTCAGAAGAAACAAGTCATGTATTGATCAAATCGCCACACTACGGATTATCATTGAGCAAAGCTTGGAATGGCAGTCACCACTCTATCTCAACTTCATCGACTTTGAAAAGGCCTTCGACAGCGTCGATCGAGAGGTCATTTGACAACTACTTCGCTACTACCAAAGGGTCCCATCGACAATTATACATCTCATCCAACAGTTATACGATAATGCTGCATGCCAAGTAATCCACAACGGGAAACCTACAGAATCCTTCGAAGTGAGAACGGGAGTGAGGCAAGGCTGTCTATTATCGCCAATGATCTTCCTGATTGCAGTAGACTGGATAATGCGACAGACGACGGGCAATGAGGAAATAGGCATAAAATGGACTCACACAAAAAACTTGGAGGATCTGGACTTCGCCGATGCCATATCTGTGTCTGATTTCCCACAAACTGGAAGATATGCAAGTGAAAAGCAACAAGTTGGCTGAAGAAGCGTCCCGAGAAGATAGGACTTCACTTCAGGTGAACATAGAGAAAACAGAGGTAGGTGATGAAGATTTCCGGTCAACAGCAATAACAGCAACAACAACAGACAACAATCAGGATAAATGGGAGAAACCTGAAAGAAACAACTTCCTTTACCTACCAACGTATCTGGAAAGCATTGTTTCAACTACAGGCGGACGGAACTGACGAGGATATCAAAGCAAGAATCGAAAAAGCGAGACAAGCTTTCATTACTCTTAAGTCTGTGTGGAGGTCAACAGCCCCACTCAGCATCAAAAATAAGATCCGGATTTTCAATTTCAATGTGAAGTCAGTGCTACTTTACACGGATCAGATACTTAGCCAGCGCGTCACGAAGGGCACTTCGAACAAAATACAGATCTTCGTCAACACTTGTCTTCGCTCAGTACTCAAGATCAGATGGCCAGTCAGAAAAGATTAGCAACAAAGATATCTGGGAGCGAACCAACCAGGAACCGATTGCGAAACAAATAGGCAGGAAGAAATGGAGATAGATTGGTCATGTCCTGAGGAAACCAGCAAGTGACATCACTAGACAGGCCATCGCTCGAGTGGAACCCGAAAAGGTAGCGGCGAGTTGTTCGTCGGTGCAAGGGTGACTTAGAGGAGGTCATGTGAGGAGGAGATGAAAGCATGTGAGCAGACTTGGAGCGAGGTGGAAAAGTTGGCAGAAAACAGAAGGCAATGGAGGTGCGCAGCCGAAGCCCCATGTCCCTCTAGGAATTAAAGGATATAATAATAATATATACTTAAACATGTGTTGAACGAAAAGAACTACTTACAGACAAAAGCTGTTTTTCTCTATCAGCATTCCTTCGGTCAATTTCTTCCAACAATCGATAGTCTCTTTGAAAAAGAAATGTAGAATAATTTTCTCGTCGACAATAAGTAACCGTATCACAGATTCCATTGCAATTAAATTGACTTTTATGATTATTACAACAAGAAAGGCTACAAGTTTTAATTTCACATTTTGGACATTTATATTTGAATTCATTTTCTAGGCATATAGCACACAATCGATTAGCATTATTATTATTATTGATAGGAGAACAATCCATTGGCTTTGGATCTTCTACACTCATTGTTACGTTCTGAGGAAAAGCCTGAAAGTAGTAATTACAAGAGTTAGCAAAAAAAATCAGACTGTCTAAAAGTTAGATAACATATAAAAAAGGATAGCCACAATTGGAGAAAGACAGCTTCTTTTACCTAATTGACCACACACATGTTTTGATATCAGTTGGTTTAGGGTAAAGCCATTTAAAATGAAAAGATAAGGGTGGTAAAAGGCAGACTAATTTTCATGCAGAACACTTCTAAGTGCTAGGTAAGGATGGGAAATCAATCGACGAGGCTGTGGAGCTACATCAGCTGAGATGGTTAGGACATGTGTTATGTATGTCTGGCCTAGCCATCGCCTTCCTCGACAACGGGTAATGTTAGCTGATAGAGGGTCAGGCCAGTCAATGAAATGCACAACAGTTAGTCTAAGCCATGTAGGAAGGTGTACACTTCCTGACTGGTTGGGGTTCTCGGGACGGTAAAAACCAATGGTTGGACACAATTGGTGATATGACTCAAAGTGATCGTTCTCAATGGCGCAGATGCATCCACTCCTTGTGACTTATAATACCCAATAAAACTATATTCTTCGGTATTACTATTCATTTCGCCTTGTGTTCGTTTCTGCTGTCTCCATTATGCATTTCTTCTACTTTCTCCTGCTTTGTGTGCTACATAGAGTGTGGCGACTTGAACTGTTGCACATCGGTACAAAGTTCTATTTTTAAAACAGATAGACAAGCAGAACACTTCTAATATCTCATTTTTAAATAACAGTTAACCAGCTACACTCAACATATAAGCCTCATGATACAAATTGGTGGTGCAAACCTCAGTCAGTAGAGCACGGCTGTAAACCGTGACTTACTCTCTGGAAAACAAGTGAAACAATATGGAACACAACTACGCTACTATCGTTAAAACTAAACTATTAGTAACTAAACAGCTCAACTTCGCTGGAAATTACTATTTATAATTTTATGTTATTTACCTCATACTACAGAATCTTCAGCACCTAGTGTTTTAAATAATATAGGTTCTATGATAAGGTTTCACAGGCAAACACAACTACCACACAAATTCACTTGTGAAGCAGTTATTGCTATCGTTCTACTCTGCTTTTAAATAATCTATGTTGTGACTTGCACAGAACACTGAAAAAAGAGATCCAGAAGGCAAATGTGGAGGATAATTCTGATGCAATTATTTTTCATCTCAATTTTATTAGGCTTCATATATAAATGAGAAATAAAACTAACAGTAATACGATGTTTTAAGTGGAACATATGTAAATGAGTAGGATAGATGATAAGGAAACACTACTGAATACCCACTAGTATAAATTAAATACTCGTTATTAGTGTTAAAAAGTTGCGTCATATCCTGAAACTTTATACTTCAAAAATAATAATCAAAAAGTTTATGTATATGCCAATAGGCAGGGCAATAAAATATTAGTCTCTGTTAGTAAATCAAGGTATGTATATATTTACATTCGAAAGTTAAATTCTATCGGAATCACCAGCACTGGTAGAGAGAACATTTTGATTTGGGAAACGCAAGTGATATTTTTTGGCAGTACTAAATACGCAGTTCGACAATAATCCAGAACGATTTTTTTTCATAGTCAGTGCAGAAAGTGATTCATTAGGACATAATCACATTTTTGTTTTTGATTACAGCTTGATTCCACACTGTATTTTTGGTACAAGTATGGAATTTTCAGCATGGATATCGGTAGCCCAAATTTCGCAGTCCGACCATAGATATCAGGTGTGCATCGGCAGAGGATCGAACCTCAGACCATGTGCATGGTCGGCAAGAATCCTAACCACTGTGCCACTGACGCACATGCCTTTACAATAGTAAGATTGATAAGGACTGAAAGAGCCAAAACAAGATCGTAAATAAACGTCTAACCTTCACTCGCCAACCAATGTTTTGGAGCTATCAGAGTTCATATTGATAGATTGCAGACTTGTAAACTCAACCTGTCTGTTTTCGACATAGAACTTTGCACAAATGTGCGGAAGTTCAAGTCGCCACACTCTGTGTAGCACGCGAAGCAAGAGAAGAAAGTACAAGAAAAGCATAATAGAAACAGTGAGCAGAGGTGTGAGACAAAGTAGTAATAAAGAAAAACATAAACAGTTTCATTGGAGATCATAAGTCACAAGGAGAAACTGAACCTACATAGACTAGATATTATCAATGAAATATAATAGGTGAGCCATAATTTGATAATGCAATCATTTATGTGGTAGAACACCTACACTTATATTCATCAATAAGACAACTAGGTTCCAGCATGCTTTATCTAGGATATCTAGATTTTGGAAAATAATAAACCACATAAGTGAACGCAGCATAACACCACTAAGCTGATGACTTCTTTGCGTAGTACAGGCATTGATGAACATAACAAGACAAGTCGATAATTTTTTCTCAATTAGATATACGGACTTGATTCTAAAAAACGTGTCTGAGAACATGGAAAATAAATTAGTTATTCTTTTTTCATTTGAGTTCGAAAACTTGTCACATCACGAATGCACCAACGGTTTCTCACATCAACTCGAGAGAATGATTATGGGGATGGGAAAAACAGAGTACCAGCAACCGACGGGTCACATGACATAAAGCTGGATACATTTGTGTACAGAATACGGTTCTGCTTACCTACTGACACTGAGACGACAGACTGTTTTCAGAAAACAAAACTGTTTTGCTTAGTATTTATGAATCCTTACGTTTTTTTAAAGAACACAGTCATTTACCCTCTGACTTATACGTATTAAACATGTGTTATTCATTTTTTCATGATACCGAGAAACGACAGGGCTAATATTACCGTAGTGCTTAGTATTCCGCAAACTCAGCTGAGACTTAGACTACACTTTTAAATCACCATAGTGGCAAATGACCAGTATTTCTATCCATGGAGAATTCAGACCAGGAAAATTAATATATTCGACCAAGTACCATTCATCCCGAAGTTGCAGCCTCCCAACACTCATACATCTAATCTGACTTTATTATGCGTGAATAGCCCCGAATTTACAATGATGCTAAGCTAATTTAAGATTTTCCCGTCGATTGATTGGACTGAAGTGCTCCCTCTCAGGTTGACATGTCGGCTTCTGATAAATGCAGGTACATCCAGCTGACGAGTCCCAAACAGGATGAAATGCGCATCCCGGATTACTCTGCTAGTCACCATCCACCAACTAAAGATGCTAAACTAATTCTAAACGCTGTCGATAATGAGGTCTAGTGATAATGGAATATTTTGTGGGCTTAAAATAAAGCCTGCTTTGCGCCGAAACAATGCAGGTAGTGCTTAAATATTACAATGGACGCTGAACTAAGTTTCACTCCTAAAAAACATAATCCTGAGGGAGATATATGTTGCAGAGACTAACGGAAGTCAAATGTGTGAAACCCTCACCACGTGAAAAAACAGATTATGTCAACTGTAACGCTACACGATGAATAGAGCGGTGTACATTATCCAATATATTCAATCAGACAATTTTCATTGGGGTTAAATGGCTTTTATGTTATTAGTGTCTTGTAAACCTTATATTAATCCTACGACGAAGTTAAGGTATCACAGCAAAATTTAAGGTCTTTTCAAAACTGACGTTAGGGAGACGATTTGAATGTTACGAAATATCATTCCGAACCAAACGTGTCTGCCCTTTTGATCTTGAAGAGAGTATATACATTATTACACTTATCTGCTAGGTACTTTTTATTACAAATCTATACTGTTTGGTAGGGTTGTGGCTTTAAGTTTAAGGTTTGGGGTGTACGGTTAAAGTTATGGTTGGGAGTTAGGATTATGGTTAGATTTAGGAGTAGGTTGAAGAACAGTGTCACAAATATCAAAAGATCTCAAAGTGCCATGACTTGACGCCACCTGGATGGATGCATACATGGCGCATAGTACGATTGGTTTATAGATCACCTGCGTAGTGACTGGGAGACATTCTTACAACACATAAGCTACAAATATACAGAGTAGTACCATGTTTGCAATATATTTTAGTGTCATTCTCAAAGATAACTCTTTTGCACCTGGATGGTGATACGTCATCGAAGGTCACTGTAGTTTCAACTATTACGGTTTAGCTTTTCCCGCCATTCGCTGCCTGAAAAAATCACTAATCTTTTCGCAACTTCATAGAAAACCTCGCATTTCTCCCGCAATATTAGTGCATTGAATTTGTAGCAGTGAATATCTCCACAAGATTACCAGCTGACAACTTTCATCACTCAACACTGCGTGTTGATCTTCAACTTCTAGGACTTCTGGTTAAATTGACTGCTAGCAGTCAAAAACTGGAGCCATTTTAGCACGCACCCCAATATTGGTTGGTTATCGTATGCCTACAACCACGGGATGAAAACGAAACGAAGTCGATTTTCCCGCTCAACCTGGAGGACAACTGTACAATCCAATCACTATGCGGCCTGGTGCAGACAATGAGTGTATTTATATGCATGTATCAAATATTTAACTGTTGAAACATTATTAATTTGTAGACAATCTATGATTTGATATTATATCATACTTAATCGTGCCTGTGAAAATGGCATGCATTTTTATGTAAATTTTTATGTTCATATGAAAATACACATTACTATTATTGCAAAGAAGTTGGAAACACACTGTCTTTGATAGATTTTTGTTTACTTTGTAAATGACTCTCTCTGATAAGTCAGTTGACATGCCTGTGACAGGTGGTGGTCTTGATTCATCCAGTTCCTCTTCTCTGCAAACACGCGGTGTAATGTTCTCTGAAACGTTTTCATAGGAGTCGCATAGAACGACCCAATTACCTGGCTCCGCACGAGCAGGTAAACTGATATACGCACCTTGAAGTGGTCATATGCGAAAGTTAGTCTGTCAATGTAGTTGCGGATTGAACTATCAGTTCATGGTTGTTTGCTCAGACTCAACTTCCCCATATTTTTAATAATAATAATGTATATTCTCATATAAACACATAAATTTGCATTTTCGCGGAGGCATCAATACACCAGTCATCGTCTCATCGTTCGCTGTTCAGAAAGAAGATAGAAAAACTCAGAAGTAATATCGTGATTTATTGTTGTAATATTTGTTCTTAGACCTTATTCTGTAAAAGCAGTATTGCTGGTTATATGTTGGCGTTAGAATAAAGAATTCATGAGTCACCAAACTGTGTTTTGGTTTTTGCGTCGGTTAATACTAAGCGTTTCTGAAAATCTTCGAGGGACAGCGTGAGGCCCAGCGTAGCAAGAGCTGGTCATTAACGGTTTATGAGACTTGATTGACAGTTTCTGGTAGTTGTTTGGATAGTCTCCGTCCGTCTGTCCTGG